CCCGATGTTTCGGTGCTTCCATCTGCCTGCTGAGCTCCGGGTTTGCTCAGGCCGGCCTTGTGGACAATAAGGAATTAGGCGCTCGTCCTCCTCTACAAGTCACCAGCCAATGAAAGCTGAGAGGTGAATATCAGATGACAATGGCAGGTCATTATCTCTATGATGACTTGCGATCCGTTATTATGATGCCGCTCCCTCGGGTCTTTCCCATCCCAGTCTCACATTGCATTACTTGTTATCTCTCGTCTTGACTATTGCAACTCCCTCCTCATTGGCCGACCTCTAAACAGGCTCCTCCCCCCTTCAATCTATCATGAATGCTGCCGCTATCCGATCCATGCACTGGCTTCCCGAAAACAATGTCTTTATATATAAATATGAGGTTTCCCGCAGTGGCCAGTCCACCAGATGGCACAGTCTCTGTACAGAGGAGCTTACACTCTAATCTCCCCCCACAGTCACATCAGTCTCTGTACAGAGGAGCTTACACTCTAATGTCCCTCCACAGTCACATCAGTCTCTGTACAGAGGAGCTTACACTCTAATGTCCCCCCACAGTCACATACACATAAATTAGGGTCACTTAGGTCAGATGTACAGAGGAGCTGTACTTATCGGACAGATTTGAGGATTGGGAGATCTTAGGTCTGATCTGCTGGTGGACGGCGGTGAGTTAGGCAAAGGCGGCTCCTGCGACTGATAAACATACAGAATAGCACGAAGTCTGACTGCATGGAGGCTGCAGATGTCCTCCCCATATAGGTTACCTGGAATCTGACCTAAGTGACCCTAATTTATCTGTATGTGACAGTGAAGGGACATTTAGATTTTGATCTCATTCCTCCTGGATCTGATCGCAGTCACTTTGAAGTTGGGGGTATTGTAGATCCAGCGAGAAGAGGAGGATCCCCTTGGCATGGCAGGCACACAGATTAGGAAGCTCCAGGCCCCTGGAAAATATGAGTGTTGGGTGGAGTGCCCCTTTAAACACACTTACCCCTCTCCCCATCAGTCCGTTATTGAACGGTAGGCCGATGAAGCTGAACGCTGCCTCCTGGATGAAGTACGGGTTCAGGATCCGGATCTCGTGTGGCTCCCGAGGGACCCGGGTGGCGACTGACTTCCAGAAACCATCAGAAGCGCTCTGCGGGAGAGAAATGGGAGAAGACCAGTAAACATGGCTGCCCCGGGAGGGAAGAGATAAGAAAGTAATTCTGTGGTTGTGTTTTTAGTGATATATCTTTACATTCTGCATTAGATAACTCCGCCCCCATCATATACACTATATTACCAAAAGTATGGGGACGCCTTTACACGCACATGAACTCTAATGGCGTCCCAGTCTTAGTCCGTAGGGTTCAGTATTGGGTTGGCTCCGCCCTTTGCCGATATAACAGCTCCGCCTCTTCTGGGAAGGCGTCCACAAGGTTTAGGAGTGTGTCTATGGGAATGTTGGACCATTTGTGAGGTCAGGTACTGATGTTGGGGGAGGGGCTCGCAGTCTCCGCTCTAATTCATCCCAAAGGTGTTCTATGGGGTTGAGGTCAGGACTCTGTGCGGCCAGTCACGTTCCTCCCCCCCAAACTCCCCCATCCATGTCTTTATGGACCTTGCTTTGTGCACTGGTGCGCAGTCATGTTGGAACAGGAAGGGGCCGTCCCCAAACTCCTCCCACAAAGTTGGGAGCATGAAATTGTCCAAAATGTCTTGGTATGCTGATGCCTTAAGAGTTCCCTTCACTGGAACTAAGGGGCCAAGCCAAACCCCCGAAATACGACCCCCCCCCATAATTCCCCCTCCCCCAAACTTTACACTTGGCACAATGCAGTCAGGCAAGTACCGTTCCCCCGGCAACCGCCAAACCCAGACACGCCCATCGGATTGCCAGACAGAGAAGCGTGATTGGTCACTCCAGAGAACACGTCTCCCCTTCTCTAGAGTCCAGTGGCGGCGTGCTTTACACCACGGCATCCCACGCTTTGCATTGCACTTGGTGATGTGCGGCCTGGATGCAGCTGCTCGGCCATGGAAACCCATTCCATGAAGCTCTCTACGCGCTGTTGTTGTGCCAATCTGAAGGCCGCATGGAGTTTGGAGGTCTGTAGCTATTGACTCTGCAGACAGTTGGCGACTTCTGCGCACTGTGCGCTTCAGCATGCGCTGACCCCGCTCTGTCATTTTATAAGAGGTCAACCAATGCGAGCAGCAGAACTTTCCTTCAATTCTTTATTTAGAAGATTTCGGGGATTTCGTTCCATTTGAAGAATCTCCGACAGATGAATTCTCTCAGGCGGATCTCTCAGCAATCACTCACCAGTGTGACCCAGAGAGGCCACACGTCCCATCTCAGCGACCATCTCCTGCACACCTTCACCCTTTACTAAAATTGTTTTCTGCCCAGAGGGGCTCCGAATAAATCTCATGAGATGCTGGTCCCGAAGCTTGCGCCTTATCTCCGATGTTCCCTACTGTATCCCCATCCAGAGTACTTAGACTCTGCCGCAGGGCTGGACCAGACTGACGAGTGATAAGAGACACACTGGACTGTAGAGCTGTCATAAGATGATGGGGTCAGCGGCTGCCCGGCCACTTAGAACACATTATCTGCTGATGTCCTGCCTGGAGGTGCACCGAAAATGGAAATTTCAAAACCGAATAGAAACCGAAATGTAAAAAAAATTGTCAGGCCGAAACCAAAAATGTTTTAATTTTTTCTTTTTAATGGACACGCAGAGCCCTCAGAGACACACAGAGTACTCAGGGACACGCAGAGTCCTCAGAGACACGCAGAGTCCTCAGAGACACACAGAGTCCTCAGAGACACACAGAGTCCTCAATCTCTTTTTCTGTGTCCCCTGTTATCAATGAATAGGAATCCTCTACACTGAGTGTTCCTGATCATTCATAACATGAGGACAGAGTATGTTTACTATAACCACCATCATGAATGAACAGGAAGTGATGTGATGTAGATCACTTCCCATTCATTCATAATTGAGGATATAGTAACCATACTCTGTCCTCAATTATCTACAAACACTCAGCGATCACCGACTGCTTGTACCCGCCCTCCTCTCTGACACGCTGTCACAGGAGGCTGAGCGAGTGGTTCAGGGAGGAGAGCTCCGGCTCATGTGGCAGCGCTGTCTCCGCCCACACACCGCTGTGCCGTACTGTGATAGGAGGCCGAGCGGTGCGGGGAGGAGAGATGCCGCCCGCTCACATCGGTCTCCTCCCGCAGCGCTCACAGTTTCTCTCCTCCACGCTGGGACACAGAGCAGCGCCCAGTGGGGAGGAAAGAAAGCAGGGATGCGCCGCTTTATCGGCACAAAAATGGCACTTTCGGCATTTAGCCAAAAGTGCCATTTTCGGCCGATATGTCTCGGCGGGCCGATATAGCGGTGCATCCCTAATCCTGCCTTCCAGTTATGTGTATGTTAAAAATTAAAATGGAGCTCGTATAAGTACATCACAACCATCTTTATATTAGCTACCTATAAGCTGCACAGTTGGCCTCAGGTTGGGAAAGCGAGGGACTGCAATGACGGGGACAGGCCCTGAAGGAAGCTCACAGGAACAATAAACAGGTTGGAAACAAAAACAAAAACCTTGCAGAACCCAAAATCTGCAGCAGGTTGTACTGCAGGTATCTCACTGAACACGAAACCTCCTGTGCAATAAACCTCAAGACATTGCCAGGGATGCCGTATTCTTTGCACCCAGCTGCCTGTAATTAAAGCCAGTGTAGATTTTTTGGGGGGGCAAGGCTGTTACAGAAGCAGGGGGATGAGGATTGTGGGAAACCCCGTCTAGACCAAGTATCGTTGCCGTGTAACACAGAACGTGTTCCAGCAACTACGCAGCGCCATTCCCATATATATATATTTATAGACGCGGACACATTTGTTGGCCCCCTTACAGCTCAATGGCACAATTCTTCATCCCTCCTGGAAAGTGATGAAATAAAATCAATTGTCTCCTGTATATCTGCAGCTCTTCGGTATGTCATGGAGTAAAAAGAGATACATTGTTGCTGATTCTTCGCAATGTTCTGGACAGAATTGTTGGTTCCCCTAGAAACGATGATAAACGATTGGATCCTAAGTGATATTTATGTATCGCACGACGTCTTCGATCTTGGATTCAGACAATTTCAATGGAGAAAAGTCATCACTGCTGTCTGGCTTCCATCCCCCGCCCCCCTCTGCCAATCCCTGCACTGGCTTCCAATAGCCCAAAGGATAAAATTCAAAATATCAACAACCACTTACAAAGCCGTCCACACTCTGCCCCCGTCTATATCTCCAACCTGGTCCCAAAGTATCACCCTAACGGTCCCCTCCACTCTTCAAATGACCTCCTGCTTTCCAGCTCCCTCGTCAACTCCTCCCATGGTCGCCTCCAGGACTTCACTAGAGCAACTCCCAGCCTATGGAACTCTCTACCCCAACCTGTCCGTCTATCTCCCACTCTGAATGACTTTAAGCGATCCCTTAAGACTCATCTCTTTAAGGAAGCCGATCCCACCTCAACCTAACCACTGAACCATCACGTTCTCAAACAATTCATCCCCACGCAGCTACCTCCTCATGTATCACTGGCCCCTCCCTTTAGATTGTAAGCCCTCAGGGGCAGGACCCTCTTTACCATCTTGTCTTGAATTGTATTGTAATGTCTTCCTTATATAGTACAGCGCTGCGCAAACTGTCGGCGCTATATAAATCCTGTATAATAATAATCAGGTGACCACACTGAACATGGAGCAGAGGAAGCAGAGAGACGTCTGAGGAGATCAGAAGGAAGATTGTAGAGCAGAATGTGAAAGGTGAAGACTACGAGACATCTCCGAGCAGACTGATGTTCCTGTGACTGCGGTTCAAATACAGTAGTATGAAGAAGATTTGAGGTCCACGGGAGTGTAGACAACCACCCTGGATGGGGCCGCAAGAGGACAATCCACCCCAGATGAAAGAGAAGAAGCGAGTTGTAGGAGTTTAGAAAGCCTATTATAGAGCAGAACATCAGAGGTGAAGACTACGAGACATCTCCGAGCAGACTGATGTTCCTGTGACTGCGGTTCAAGTATTATGAAGAAGTTTTGAAGTCCATGGGAACGTAGACAACCACCCTGGAGGAGGCCGCGGGAGGACAATCCACCCCAGATTGAAGAGAAGGAGAGTGTGAATGGAAGACAGAGAGCCGAGGAGAACTTCTAAAGAGATACAAGATGAACTCCAAGGTCAAGGCACATCAGTGTCTGATGGAACCACCCGTCACTTTTTTGAGGGCTCAAAAGAAGAAACATCAAAAACTAGAGTATGGTAAAATCCATGTTGACGAGTCACAATTCTTGTGGGGGAATGTCCTTTGGAAAGATGAGACAGAACTGGAGCTTTTTGGCCAATCACATCAGCTCTATGTTCCCAAATTAAGAAATGAAGATTTGGAAGAAAAGAACGCTGCACCAACTGTGAAACATGGAGGAGGCTTCTGCTTTGAATCATTATGTTGGGAAATCCAAGTGTGCCCCATGCACAGTTTCTAGGCTGGTGAATGTATTTTCTCATAATATGCAGCATCCATATGGACATCAATTTTAACCAAATTCCCTGTGCCTCTGTATCTCACCCCCCCCAAAACAGCAAAAATCCACCATCATGCTTCACAGTAGGGATGGTATACTTCTTTTCATAAGCTTTGTTGTATAGCATCCATGGCTGTCACCATAAAGTCACCATTTTTGGTCTAATATCTCCAAATTAGTTTGTTCCAGATGTTCTGAAGCCTCTCTAGGATCAAAAATGGCTAAGGGGTATGTAAACGTAGGAGAACAAGCGCACATGCACTATATTGCCAAAAGTATTGGGACGCCTTTACACGCGCATGAACTTTAATGGCATCCCAGTCTTAGTTCGTAGGGTTCAGTATTGGGTTGGCTCCGCCCTTTACCGCTATAACAGCTCCGCCTCTTCTGGGAAGGCATCCACAAGGTTTAGGGGTGTGTCTATGGGAATGTTGGACCATTTGTGAGGTCAGGTACTGATGTTGGGGGAGGGGCTCGCAGTCTCCGCTCTAATTCATCCCAAAGGTGTTCTATGGGGTTGAGGACAGGACTCTGAGCGGCCAGTCATGTTCCTACCCCCC